AGAGCGAAGTGCTCTGTTAGGAACATAAGGATTTTCCTAACTTGGCTTTACATGTAAGAAGGAGGATTTTATATAAGAACTCATTCCGACATGAACACTGTTGAACCCTGCAGGGTCGGTGGTTCTGGAGGGTGCGCAGGAACAGGGTCCTCGACAACTACCCCATGCCCATCGGACACTTCTGGAGGGGTCTGCCAGGGGACATCGATGCTGCTTACGAGAGACATGACGGCAGGTTCGTCTTCTTTAAAGGTGAGCAGGAAGTCTGCATTAACAAACATGTGCTCTGCCGCAATAAAGCAATGTCCTTCTCTATTCAGACGCTCTGCTGCCGCTATCTTGGCATTGCTGTGTCTGTGTCATTTATTCCTGTGCAACTAACAAGGAGGATTTATATGTAATATCAGGATTAGTGATTTGTTTAAATATATAAAAAAAAGCTGATTTATTACGGTGTTTCTGTATCCTTAGATTTTCATATCAACAGTAACAATAACATGTAAATAGACCAGGGACTGTTGGGAGATTATAGAGCATAATGCACGATTATTGAAAAATGTAAAAGCTGTTTCCCCTGCAAAGACCTGCACAAATATATTGGAAAACCAAAAGCCACAAAAGTTTGGTTATTTAAATGTTGAATAGATAAAACATCATTTTTAATGATGTAAGTGAAATAGGATCAGCTGTAACCTCAAGTGTTACTGGATACATGCAGCTCTATCACAGATACGTGTCTAATAAGGAAACTGGAGGATGTTAACTGTAATTAAAGCCAAGAGGCCAATTCTAAACAGAAACAACTGGTAGCTTCTATGGCACCTGAAACAGTGGCGGAAATGGTGATATTAGCAGCTGATGTCACTAGTTACTGAAACAGCCAAACCAAAATGTCTGCTTATACAAAGACGCATTAGCCTAAGCAATGAGTGGGCATGCATGAATAGCTTTTTATTTTGAAAGTCAGAAAAGTTGAGGAAATGTCAGTAGTCTTTACCTTGACTTTGTCATGATTTACTATCTTAACATTTTGACACACATGTTCTTTGTGTACCTTTATAACTTTCTAAAATATTGGAACAGGCCTGTCCTTAGAATCATCATTTATTTCTTGTTTTCAAATAACTGAGATGCTGTTTCTGCTTAAATGTAATTAAGAAAAGTGTTAAAACTTCTAAATCTGCGGTATAGCGAAACCTTTTAAAGCCTATCCTGACATTATCTATATTAACAATAAAACTCCAAGTCCAGATCTCTAGAGGAACTGTCCTGCATTTTCAGGATGGGTCCTTCCTCCAACACACCCGACCCACATGGCTCAAACTCTGCCACAGCAGGTCATGTTCAGCAGAGCCCCAATCAGAAGCTGCTCCTGTTATCCATCTCCGTTGGGAACAGGGCACTTGAGTCAGAATCCCATTAAATAGACTCTGACTTACAGAGTCCTGGTAATGATGGCACTATATCCATAACCTGCACAGTAAGATTAAGCTTGGCCATTTAGGGCTTTATATGTGAGCTGGAGGATTTTAAATTCTATTCTGGATTTAACAGCAAACCAATGAAGAGAAGCCAGGAGGATATGATCTTTATTTTCAGTTTTCATCAGAACTCTGGCTGCAGCATGTTGGATCAGCTGAATGCTTGTGGACTTACAATTACGATAGGAATTACAATAGTCCAGCCTTGAAGTAACAAATGCATGGACTAGTTCATTTGCATTTCAGATGCATTCTGAGACTGTAGCTCTGACTTGTTTTACTCAGTCTGTAGGAGAGCTGCATTCAACATGTAGAGTAGAAATATTTCTCAATGTGCCACCCCCTTTATACTGGGAGTCAGCCTTTTGTTCTGGTTGACTCTGGTGAGCTCCAGGCTTCGGAGCAGCAGCTGATAATGAGGAGAATGATGTCATTGGCAAGCCTCAGCAAGACAGTTGGCTTCAGGCCATTAGCAGATGAAGGGCCAGATGAGGGGAGAAGGAGGTGGGTTGAGAGGCGATTCATGGCTCTATACATAGAGCCTGTTCCTCAACTACATCAGATCGTTTAGTGTTTCTCTACTTTGCTGCCTCTTATGTTTCTGTTTATGTGAAATGGGCCATGAATTATGTAAATTTCAATTGCTGCCCTAAATCTAGTGATGACTTGAAAGGCAAACATTTTACTGGATTTGAGAAAACATTTTCCATCCATTGCATTGAAATTAATCATCAGTTATGTCAGTTGTATTGTCAATCTTATTTTGCCGTTTGACACCATTTTGGGTTGCAATACCTGCGGGGCAAACTTCATTTTTTTATTGAGGTCAGTGAAAACATATGTGGAGGTGTCTGACATTGTGACTGTGAATCACATACAGGTTTGCTGGTGAAGAATCTCAGTCATCCAGGTCATAGTCATTCCTAAAAAAGTAAAAAAAAAAAAAAAAAGCAATCCACTGGACTTGGTTTCCAAATTTAAAGACGCTTCGCTTTAGCCTGGGTGCCATTCCGAACTTAGTCCCGCCCACAACGTTTGAGGTCGGGAAGTTCGGTCTGGCATTGCTTAATAGTAGCGCGAGTATGCTCGCACAATAGAGACTGACACGGGAGTGGATTTTCACTCCTGTCCTGTCCCACTCCCACAGAAAAAAATTATGTCCCGTCCCGATCCCGGGCCAGAATAGAAATCTAAATCCTGTCCCGTCCCACTCCTGGTGAAATTACTCCC